GTGGGTGGGTGGATGGATGGATGGATGGGTGGGTTGGTAGATGGATGAATGGATGGATGGATGGGTGGGTAGATTGATAGATAGATAGATACATGTATGGATAGACTGAGTGGATAGATTGATCAGTAGACAAACAGATAGATGGACAGATGAGTAGGTAGGTGAATAGAGGTATGGATGGATGGAAGAATGAATAAATCAATAGAAAAAAAGATGGATGGATGGATGGATGATGGATGGATGGATGGATGGATGGATGGATGAGTGGATGGATCAATGAACAAATGGATAGATGGATACAGACGGATGTATCAATAGGCAGACAGATGAATGGACAGATGAGTAGAAAGATTGGTGGATAAACGTATGGATGGATGGATCAATAGATATGGATGGATGGATGGATGGATCAATAAACAAACAGATAGATGGATGGACAGACGAATGGATCAACAGACAAATGGATGGATGGACAGATGAGTGGATAGATGGAACATTATACAAACTGGTGGATGGATGGATGGATGGACAGAGATGGACGCATGAATCGATAGATAGATAGATAGATAGATAGATAGATAGATAGATAGATAGATAGATAGATAGATAGATAGATAGATAGATAGATAGATAGATAGATAGATAGACAAATGGATGGATGGGCAGATGAGTGGACGGATGGTGTTCGTAATGTTTTTTAATAACGTTGATGTTTTTGATGTTTGTTTGTGATTGACAGATGATGCCTCCTCCTCCTCCTCCTCAGCTCAATTTCCTCAGTCTGTCTGTTTTCCTGCACCCGCCGCCACCCAAAGTGCTTTTTCACATCAACAGTCTAATAACCAGGAAGCGAATGGTGAGTATAGCAAGCTTAACTCTTCAAATCTGCTTAATGGCTGTGAAACTCTCCTTCTTAAAATAGTCCACTAATCAATTAAAACAACCAGTCAGTAAGTAGAGCTTAAGAAGAGACACTGCAGAGCGAAAACTCAAGATGACCGAGGAGAGAAGCCAATTTGTTGATCTGAACTGGGTGCTATTTTTACCCTCTGGCTTGTTTTGAAGGTTTCAACTCATTTCCTGCTCCGGAGTCCATCCCCAAAGTCCCACGACCAATGTCTGTCAATCCTTTTACTGTAAGTATGATCCGCTTTCAATGCTCAAAGTCAATAAAACAGGTGTAGTAGATAAACCTGCACCTGTATATCGTAAATCACTGAGAGTCCATAGTTAGCTTGACCTAAATGACTGACTTGAGTGCCTGCTGGGACTCCACTCATTATACGTTTATCTGGATTATGTAGTCAGATTATATTTAATTATAATGCTTGTAATTAGATTAAGAGCTATTTCTTGAAATACCCTATTTTCCTAAATATTAGTTTTGCTCTTTTACCATATGAATATTTCTGTGACATATATTCCTAAGTGACTTGTTTAATGTGATTAAGCAAATTGTGTGTAAAGCATGTGAACATTTGGATTGGTGCTGAATAGAAGAGATGTATTATGTCTACATATTTTCTACATAACACGGTACTCAAAATCAGACTTACAAATAATTAATATGACATCAATTACTTACTGGTTATATGATCACTTGATATGCACAAAATTACAATCTTATTTCTAGTGCTTCACTTTTTCCACATTTTTTTATGTTACAGCCTTATTCTAAAAAGGATTAAATTCATTCATTTCCTCAACATTCTACACACAATAGCCCATAATGACAATGTGAAAAGAGAGTTTTTTGAAATTGTTGCAATTTTATAAAAATAAAAAATAAAAAAACCTGAAAAATCGCATGTACATAAGTAAAAGTCCCGGCTGGGTCAGTTAGGGACTTTGCATGTTCTCCCCGTGTTGGAGTGGGTTTCCTCCGGGTGCTTTGGTTTCCCCCACAGTCCAAGGACATGCGCTTTAGGTGAAGCAAATAAACTAAATTGGCAATAGTGTATGTGTGAATGAGTGTATGGGTATTTCCCAGTACAGGGTTGTGGCTAGTAGGGCATCCGCTACATAAAACATATGCTGGAATAGTTGGCGGTTCATTCCACTTTGGCGACCCATGGTAAATAAAGGACTAGGCCGAAGGGAAAAAATGAAACTAATGTCTCCATTATGCTTGCCTTTAGAGCTGTACAATACTGGGAAAATGTACAATATTGCTGTTGAGTAATGTGATAATGATACTTCTTGCCATTTTTTTCCCTAGAAAAATGCTATTTATTTAAGCTATGTTTTAAAATCATTGATTTATTGATTGATATTAAAGTAAACGGGTCAAATGCAGTTTTATTTGTTATAATTAGTTTTATTCAGATTAAAAAAAAAACTGTTAAGGTGCAAACATTTAGTCTTTAAAACACTCGGAGTGAGTGAAGATATTCTGACTCTGATTGGCTGTTGTCATTTTCCTCTCTCATCTCGACTTCCACCACTGGTGTTTATTTTCAGCAAGAGATTCATCTTTGAGCTGCTCTAGCCAATAGCACAGCAGCAACCACTAGGTAGGTGGGGATAAAGATAGTAAGGCCCTATCTCATTGGTCAAATTTAGATAAACAACCAATGTATCATTCATTCAATTATTCATTTTGTTTTCATCTTAGTCCCTTTATTAAACTGGGGTCACCACAGCGGAATGAACCGCCAACTTATCCAGCATATGTTTTATGCAGTGGATGCCCTTCCAGCCGCAACCCATGTCTGGGAAACATACATACTCTCATTCACACTAATACACTACGGACAATTTTAGCTTACCCAATTCACCTGTACCGCATGTCTTTGGACTTGTGGGGGAAACCGGAGCACCAGGAGGAAACCCACGCGAACGCGGGGGACAACATGCAAACTCCACACAGAAATGCCAACTGACCCAGCTGAGGCGCGAACCAAAAACCTTCTTGCTGTAAAGCTACAGCACTACCTACTGCGCCACCGTCTCACCCACCAATGTATCAAATAAATGTAATTTATCACACGACTGAGATACATACAGTATATTCCATTTACTATTATCACGATAACAATAATTTAGCAATATATTGTGCGTTCCCACTTGCTTTGTTTACTTTTTGTTTACTAAGCTATAAGCTACCAGTATTCTTTGATGTAAATGCATCTAATTTGCATTTTTTTCTTTTTTGTGAACTTCCAAAATATTTTATTCACGTTAGGATGGAAACGCAGCTATTGAGGTCGAAACAAAATGATCAGTGTGAGCAAAATAATGAATGCGAAAGACAACATTATTACATTTAATTCACAGCTGTTTAATTAATTAACATTTAATACCACTTCAATCATTTGACCTCATAAGACCTCATCTTATGTCACAGGTATTCATTTTGTTTCGCCTGTCTATATTTCTTGGACTCAAATAATTGTTGTTGTACATTTTATGAATCACCAAAGACTGCCAGAATATTTTTTACACTACCTGACAACAGTCTTGTTGTCGATCCCAGTTGTAAGAGTAACAATAATTACTTGACTTCTAGTTGATCATTTGGAAAAGTGAAAGAAAAATCATGGTTTGTGGTTACATTTAGTATAGGGGCATGCAAGAGGTCTGCTGAGTGGATGGCAGCATCAACAGCCTGTGTTGCACATTGCATTACAAGTCACAGAAGAGGGCAAATCCTTCAGCAGGATAGCACTCATACTTCAGCCGCCACATCAAAGTTCCTGAAAGAAAAGACGGTCAAGATGCTCCAGGATTGGCCAGCCCAGTCACCAGTAATGAACATTATTAAGCATGTCTGGGGTAAGATGGAGTCATTGAAGATGAATCCAAAGAATCTTGATGAACTCTGGGAGTCCTGCAAGAATGCTTTCTCTGCCATTCCAGATGACTTTATTAGTAAGTTATTTGAGTCATTGTATGGATGCAGTCCACCAAGCTCATGGCAGTCAAACACAATATCAACTCTTTTTCCACTGCACCATGACTTTATATTCTATACCGTACATTATTTCTGTTCAGTGACAAGAGTTTTGTCTAAGCAAAGTCAGACCTTACTGTCCTAATTAAATGATTAAAAATCAAAGCATGATCATGTTTTTATTTTGGTAAAATATGCGTAATCTAGGGGCCTTTGCCTTTCATATAAGCCACTTCTGATACCAAATGATCAACTAGAAGTCAAGTTATTATTTATGATTCCTAAAACTTGGATAGGCAACAAGTCTTCTGTCAGGTATTGTAATGTTATACTGAAGAAAATTTCAACTACATAAATAACAACAAGCTCATTGTTAGTCTAAACCAGTGGTCACCCAACTTGTTCCTGTAGGGCCGGTGTCCTGCAAATTTTAGCTCCAACCCTAATCAAACACACCTGAACAAGCTAATCAAGGTCTTACTAGGTATATTTGAAACATCCAGGCAGGTGTTTTGAGGCAAGTTGGAGCTAAACCCTGCAGGGACACCGGCTCTCCAGGACAGAGATTGGTGACCCCTGGTCTAAACCTTAATCCTTCTAAAGTATTTTCCTTGATTTCTCACAGGGGAATGTTTACCCGACCAGAGGAGCATCACTGAACCCTTTCATCTGATCCTGAACCATTTCGACCACAGAGAAAGAGAGCCAGTGTTTACTTTGCCATACCTACAGAAAACATCCAAAACTTCTGCGTGTATATGTGTTCTCATGTATGTTTAAAAGCGTGTGTGTATGCATGTTTGTGTGTGTGTGTGTTTGTTAGCCAGTATTGTAACCATTTGTATATGCTTTGTTTTATGTGTGTGTGAGCGTGTGTTCATAAATGCCCTTTTCTACCAAATGCTATAGTAAATCAAGCTCTGTGTGTGTGTGTTTGTGTGGGTTTCACCTAAAATCTGAGTTATTTTTTCTGATGACAGGAGAACTCTGGATGAAAGGTGCTTATGAGAGCCATTAACACTCATACACACACACAAACACAAAAGCTGCTGCTTTCACCTTTCCACACACTAGATCTTCTCGTGCCAATATTGCCCTAACCTGAGTGCCGCTTACTTCTAAAAACACTGAGGTCGACAATAAAACGGTAGCAGTTCAAGCTTCAGATCACCTCAGTAATGCATTTCTCCTTAGTGCCAATTTGGTTTATTGATTCAGATGCATGTTAGAGACGGCGTAAACAAAACAGACATTTCCCTCACTCGCCTGTCTGTGTATGTACAGTATGCCAGGCTTGTTTCTATTTATTTTGACGTTAACGTTTCATTTCAAGCGTTAAAAAGTATTCTTGTGTGTGCGCTGTCGGACTGCATGCGCTTCTTAAGCTGAGCAGGAAGCTGCTGAATGTATTGCAGTTTTATGAGGGAAAAACGTTTCTCTTATGGACCAAAAATTGTCTAATATCGTCAAGTGTCCTGTATAATGTAGAGATGGTTTGTTTTTCGCAAAAAGGACTCGTATAGAATGTCTGTGTATTGAGATGTATCCATATGCATAAAGCTATCCATAACTGTTGTGTCGACGTGTATCTGATTGTCTGTGATGCAAATCAGATTTGCTGCTTTCGGAATTTCATGCAATATCTTTTTATGACAGCATCATTTATATTTTTCTGTGAAGATCATTATCGCATTATGAATGTATTTGCACTCTATGAGCATTAGGGCTTTCAACTGAAAAATTAAAAAGAAAAGTATAAATTTCACCTCTCACTGGATGTAGTCTAATTTTTATGAGCTGGGGAGTGGGTTATGGTTTAGGTTTGCAGTTTAACAGGCTATAATTAAACTAAAAAATTTTTTATTATTATTTAACAAACTGAAGTGAGAGAAACATTTGTGAAATTCTAAATAGTAATTTGGTGAATTAATGTAGTTTCTAAAATATTTACAGTTTGCTCTGTTTTTTAGTAACAAGTTGAATAAAAGAGATGCCCAAACTAGGCCCAAAGTGGCACTATGTTAACCTTTGAATTGACCTTTTATCCAGTGTGAGAAGAGAGTGTTGGGAGCGAAAGTCTTTAACTGAGATTGTCATTTCTATTATAACATAAGCTTTTTTGATTGTTTGTTTTATTTCTGAGCTGCCAACTAAAATGAAATGTTTTAATTATGGTGGCTCGAGAAAGCCAACATTCTGTTATACTACATAAACTTAACATTCTTCTTCTGTCTTCTTCTGAGACTAATTTCTGTATGCATCTCCTCCTAAACCGTTCCAGCTACAAAAGCCAAACTTACTCCAGACCTCCAAACTGGTCTGACTCAGGTTGCTATATCTTTTCCAACTGATCCGACTTTTTTTTTCCGAAAACTGACTAGGAAAATTTAGAAAAGTCTTATTGACTTTACATTGGACCAAACTTTGACCTGATAACTTTGCGTCAGACTGTCATACAGACTTAAGGTTGGGCTCATTTAACTCAGAATACCAATCTGCCAATCACTGATGACCTTTCAACTCACTAGCCACACCCTAGCAACCACTTACAGTACCCTAGCAAATGTTCCAAAGATTTCCATTGTAAAAAAAAATGCCATTGACTTTACAATTGGACATACTAATAACATACCAATCCATACTAGAAACATACTAACGACATAATAATCCATACTAGAAACATACTAACATAACAATTCATCCTAGTAACATAATCACGACATAATAATTTATACTAGAAACATACTAACGACATACTAATCCATACTAGAAACATACTAACGACATATCAATCCATATAAGAAACATACTAACGACATAATAATCCATACTAGAAACATACAACATGACAATTCATCCTAGAAACATACGACATAATAATCTATACTAGAAACATACTAACAACAAACTAATCCATATTAGAAACATAATAACTACATAATAATCTATACTAGAAACATACTAACGACATATCAATCTATATTAAAAACATACTACGACATGCCAATCCATATTAAAAATATACTAACGACATGCCAATCCATACTAAAAACATACTAACAACATACTAACGAATGACCAATCCATACTAGAAACATACTACCGACATACCAATCTATACTAAAAACATACTAACGACATACTAATCCATACTAGAAACAACCTAAAAACATACTAATCCATACTAGAAACATACTAACGACATACTAATCCATACTAGAAACAACCTAAAAACATACTAATCCATACTAGAAACATACTAACGACATACTAATCCATACTAGAAACAAACTAAAAACATACTAATCCATACTAGAAACATACTAACGACATACTAATCCATACTAGAAACAACCTAAAAACATACTAATCCATACTAGAAACATACTAACGACATACTAATCCATACTAAAAACATACTAACGACGAAACATGTCGATCCATACCAGAAACATGGTAACATATGTAGTTATGTAGATATGTAGTAGTCTCTCTTTGCCAACTTCTTACAAACTACTTCATTATTTTTTACTTTAAAACTCCTTTAAACTTTCAGACTACGCTTTCTCAAGCCACCACAAAGTTTGTCCATGAAATTAACTTTTCTAGTTAAATGTTCTAAACGAATCTGATTTTCAAAAATGCTGGAAATACTGACACTCTACGCACAGAGAACAATCCAGAAGACATCAGTGTGTATTCGGCACTGAACTCCATTATAGTATAAATGAGATTATATATATATATATACATATATATATATATATACATATATATATATATATATATATATATATATATATATATATATATATATATATATATATATACACACACACATACATACATGCATACATATATAAGATAAAGTTTGGGCACCCCAGCTTTAAACTAAAATCGCAAAATTCAGGTCCCCTTTAAAACTTGCAGCTGCAATGGATCAGGGAGTCCACCAGATGTCGCAATGCATTTTAATATAAATACTTGGTATTCATTCACAACACAATAAAAAAAAACTTTATTAGATCATTTAAACATTTAGCACTAAAATCATAATTTACACCTGCATTATTGACTCATTGATAACTATTTTACCTCACCAGATGAAAAGGAAAAGCAAAAATGTTTGCCATGTTCTGAACATATTAGAGTATGATACAACAGTAGAAGATTTGTCTGTCTTTTGGTCATTAATCTGCCGTCATGCCTGCTATTCATATGCAATATATTAACACGAAATTTATGATGACAAGGGTAACCATTAACTAACAAGTATCTGTTTTATGTCACTAGAGACTTTAAACAATCCAACAGTGATTACAACCTTTTCAGTTGCACCATTAAATAGTTCAGCAGAGATTACCTTTTCAATTGCACTAATCACAGTGTATTGATATTTTGTAAGGTTTTATATATATGACAAAATTGTTTTGCAATGTGACATACACACAATAAGTACACTATATACACAGGTATATACAGTATAATTTAACAATAACAAGTAACTACAGAAATGATGTGCAGTTGTAATTACAGTATCTATTAATTAATAGATGCAAAGTAAAAATGTACACAGTATTGTATATGAAATGATTGATTGGGGTACATAAAGTGCTTTTATACCCTGCTTTTATCATTCCTAAATGAATCTAAACTTCAGAACCTCACTGAATTAAATGGGAGGGGGATTCTGCTAACTGCTAGCCAGTAATACTGCAATGATTGCTTTTAGCTCAAAATAAAAGTGACCAAGCAAAGGTAAAAGAATAAACTCTTTAATAATTATACTGAACTGAATTTACTCTATAGGAGACTTTTATCTTTGTCTTATTGTTGTATCAACAATTACGAACCTGAGAATAACTATTCAGCTCAATTAATCTTTATTCTTATTGCACTTTATGCCATGTAGATTGAGTTAAAGCAGCTTATGAAGAGAAAAGTAATATGCCAAAACAATATGTCAGATAGTGGAACATTCAAGTATTTCAGCAGGCAGGATAAGCTGGTGTAGTTAGCATAAAATTAATGCTAATTCAGTTTATTCATTCATTCATTTCCTTTTCAGCTTAGTCCCTTTATTCATCAGGGGTCAACACAGCGAAATGAACCGCCAACTTACCAGCATATGTTTTATGCAGAGGACGCCCTTCCAGCTGCAACCCATCACTAGGAAACACCCATGCACACTCATTCACACACATGAACAATTTAGTTTACCCAATTCACCTATAGCGCATGTTTTTGGACTTATGGAAACGGGAGCACACCCACACAAACACGGGGAGAACATGCAAACTCCACAAAGAAATGCCAACTGACCCAGCTGGGGCTCGAACCAGCGACCTTCTTGCTGTGAGGCGATGGTGCTACCCATTGCACCACGGTGCTGCCCTGATTCAGTTCTGTTTTATGTAAATGTTGACGTTCAGTTGAATTCAGTTCCACTGAAGCAGATAGCTCTGAAGTCTGCAACCAAGCAACAGACAGCCTAGTTTTAACAAACATTTGTCAAGAAAGGTTCGTTCTAACCTTTAACTCCCAGAAGTCATTTACAGAATATCCTTGTTGACCCCAGAAGAGGTGTGACAGGGGTGCCCAAACTTTTTCTTGTGAAAGACCAAAATCCAAGCTTGATTGAGAGCTGTGGGCCGAAAGTAAACAATGCAAACTATTAAAGTTGCCACGTTTATTTTCATAATTTATATCATAATATTTAAAAATAAATAGGAAAAATTACTTTAACTGTATTTACTAATGCGTTCTAATTTTTCAAAAATGTATATTATTATAACAAACCTATTACAAAACCATACAAAAAGTTCCACTTATAAAACATCGGTGTTCAATGCTGAATAGTCAAGCTGAACCTGCATTTGCCTTGATTTGAATGCTGATTCCTTTTGCTTTGTCTCCTATTCGTGCATACCTAATGTTTGCACAACATTTTAAAAATCTGATTCATTTACAACATTTAATTAAAACATATGATTTCATTTTGCTTTTTTTGTCTCTCAACAATAAAACAAACAAACAAACAAAAGGTTACATTAAAATAGAAACGAAAATTTCTGTTAAAGGCATTCCCCAACCATTCCCAATCAATTTATCTCTGGCAGGCCAAATCAAAGGATACAAAGAGCCAACTTTGGCCCGCAGGCCCTAGTTTGAGCATCACTGGTCTACAAAGTTATGAATTTAAAAATATTAATGAAATATAAAAAATATGTTTATAAACAATTTCAAGTTACAAATTCAAATACATTTAAACAACTTAAGCCTATCCTAGTCCTTTTTTAGAAAGTTATCAAACACATTTCTCATCGATATTTAAATATGAAAGAAAAAGTTGTAAATGAGTAGTAACATTGTAAAAACACAGTAACGCTCAGAACTTAAAAATGTTTTCACATTCAGATATTAGCGTGAGGTTCTTACTTAACGAGATGCACTTTTTTAATGCATGAGAATTAAAAAGTGAAATTAGTTTTATGCCGAGGAGGATGAAATCCGATTCTGGTCCGCAACCTCGTGCTATAGCCTCTCTCTCTCTCTCTCTCTCTCACACACACACACACACACACACACACACACACACACACACACACACACACACACGCTCTCTCTCTCTTTCATAGCCTGAACTACAGAAGCCCGATGAGTGACAGAGCTTCACAGTAGCAGTGAGGGCTGCTCTGGAGAGGAGGGGTGCTGGGATCTGTCTGTCTGTCTGTCTGCTGTACGCTACACTAATGAGATTATTCAACTCGTAAAGCTGCTTCTAAATAGTAGTAGTTGTGTCGCTTCTCGCACGCCGCTCCGCATGTGCTCTCTTGCTCACACATTCAGCTCAAGCACAACCGCAGAGCTCAGTGACATTATTTTGGGAAGGAAACTGCTTGTTGGAGCCTCTCTCGCCCTTTGCGCACATGACTTTTTTCAAGCAACGGATTGTGCATTTGTTGTCGTTCGCTACTTTTAGGGCTGAACATTGATTGAGAGAGCATGGAGAACCACATGGAGCTGCAGAACAGCACGGAGGACGTCCGCAGGAGCGGCTATCTCCGCAAGCAGAAGTCCATGCACCGGCGCTACTTCGTGCTGCGGGCTGCTTCGGAGCGCGGCCCGGCCCGACTCGAATACTACGAGAGTGAGAAGAAATTTCGTGGTAAAGCGCCCGTGCCCAAAAAGGCTCTGGCGCTGGAGACGTGCTTCAACATAAACAAACGGGCAGACTCGAAGAATAAACACATGATAGTGCTCTACACGCGGGCGGAGAGTTTCGTGGTGGCGGCCGAGAACGAGGCGGACCAGGAGGAATGGTACCAGGCGATGGTGGAGCTTCAGTGCAAGAGTAAGTCCTGGAGATGGGTGTTAACGTGGCAGGCGTCGTTTAATTGCATCTTGCATTTAAAAACGGTAGAGAACACATCCGTAGACATGCTGACTGCATGCTGATTTTGGGTACGCAGCTGCAGTTTGGTGTTGAAACAACAGTGTTTTTCTTCCTCTCCAGAAAAGTGGTTGGGCCCCAAAAGTTGAGTAGAGGGGCCCACTTTGCTGTGGAGAAGGGAAAGTCTGTTACTGAAGTTCATCTTGCTTTCTTATCCACGCTGCCACCTGAGCGTGTGTTATCGTGTCTTCTCACTATAGGGCTCAACTTGAGCAAACAGTTGAGATACACACCGCAAGGTCCCTAGGTCATCTTTTTCTAAGTATTTCTGTCAACGCATTGCAATAGCACATGTAGAAAATGCTGTTTCGGTCTGCAGGGCAGAAAGTGTGAGATAACTATGATATTTTTCTAATAAGCAGTCGATATCAATAGGCTGAGGTTTCTTTCATCTTTTATGATAAACGGCTCCTACATTGGACTTTGGGGCTAATGGCAAAGTTAAATATGCCGATTAAAATAAATATTTTTTCTGTTACTACATTATCTTAAAAAAGCTCATCTTAATTCAAAAAAGTATATTGAATTTATTAAAAAATAATAATAATGAGGCTCAATCATGATGCTGAAAAACCATTCAGTGAATAGTTTAATAACGTGAAAATCATGTTCATAAATCAACCTTTTATTACACTGTAAAGAACATTTTGAAAAGGCTGCATGGAAGTTAAAGGTTCTTTATGCAAACACCACACCAATAAATATATTTTTTAAACAGTGTGGTAATTAAAAAAAAAAAGTACTCCTCCCATAATTACTGCCAAATTAGCTTTAAATAAAAACATGATAATTCTGTAACAATTTAACACATTTCATTCATTTTATTCAGTTTGAGGCATAATTATTTTTTTGTAATTAACTTGTTCCTTTAAGCAGGGGTGCCCAAACCTTTTCTTACAAACCCGATTGCTAGTGGGCCGAAGGGAAGGTAAAAATAGTTGCCTTGGATACTCCCTAATTTATTAAATTATATTTTAAAATAACAATAAAACATTGCTTTATATTAACTACATTTTTCAACGTTTTACTAAACTTATTACAGTAAAAACAGAGAGTTTTATCTCATTTATAGCAGAATGGAGTTACACTAGTTAAGCTGCACCTGATTTTGCAATGATTTGCTTGCAGATGTCTTCTGCATTGTCCGCTATTTGTCAAGTGACAGTATTAACATTTTTACTAAGTATTCATTTATGTATTTACAATTAACATTGAAATTAAACAATTTCAGTTGGCTCTTTTTTGTAGCTCAGCAATTAAAACAAACAAAAAAGGTTATTTTAAATTAGAAATGACAATCTGTTAAAATCATTCACCCAACCCTGCCCATCATTCTTACTGTCTTTTCAGATGAGATGTTGAGCCGAATCAAAGATTGCAAAATAAGCCAACCTTGGCCCTAATTTGGGCATCTCTTGCCTAGAGTTATCAAGCTTTCCGTAATAAGGCCTGTTCACACTAACAGTGAGAACTATGAAGTGAGCGATAATGATTACTATTCCAGTGTCCACACCAATGCACAATACAATTCTGTTTACTATAAAGCCCAATTCACATGGCACAGGCAGTTGTCAGACTACGACCCAATGAGCACCGATTCAGCATGTTCAATCGCCGAAAACAAGCTCGGACAGCCGCCAGACACAGAGAAGGGTAACATACTGATCTGACAAAACAAGGCTGTTGCCGTCTGTTGGTTTGGTGTGAATCAGATTTAAACCAGCATTGCTGTTTTGTCATTTGCAGCTTTAAATGCTTGCACACTTTAAAACAGAACCAAGTGTATGCAGTTTTCATTTCTTCTAGTTGTGAATGATCTTGTGAGATTTGTTTTCATTTTTGTCATGTGCAGAGTATTCCGCTTCAGTGCAGAATTAACTAAATCTCTATTAATGCTTCCTAAAAGCAGCGAAATGAATCACATGGACGTTTTCTTTATCTGTATTTCAAAAGATATTAAATATTATATAACCTGTCACTCCTCTTAGAATAAACTGTACTGGCGAAAGCAGGTACACTTGCAAAGAGTAAACAGACAAAAAGGGCAGTGACCGTGACTCCTACAGCAATTACACAGCCCCGCATGTTCCTTGGCTCAAGCAGATATACCACTAACTAACCTAATGTGATGCAACCCTTGCAAACCAATATAAAAGGTCCAAAGTACTATTACTGCATTACATAATGAGAGCACCAAACCACGTGCACTTTAATATCTCATATATTGCACACACAGAGAAAAATATGCAGATTCTGACAAGGTTTTGTCTGCAAACAAACAGCTGATTTCCATGGGATAAAGATGAGTTGACGTAGGGCAAGTAAAGGAGATGACATCTTAACAAGATGTGAGGGTCAGACTCTCAGACCAGGGATGACCCTCCAGTTGTCATCCATAAAGTCTCCTAACTGGATAACAAGCTAAATAAACCAGTCTACTGATTGGCTGTTTTGACATCTGTCATAGCTGCTTTGTGCTGGGTTTAACCTGCTGATGGCCATGACAACTGAGAAATGACCTATGGGAATGTTGTCCATACACACGTTTACACATCTTAATGCGTTTACTCCCTATCAATATTCTTTACAGGCAACAGTAGGTATGATGATTGAGAATATGCCCAAGAGTAACCTGCAGTTCAAATTTTACTGGGGATGAAATTTCCAGTTGCCACATCTTTACGCTTTTGATTGATTCATTTATTCGCTTATCATCAAGTCTGTAACTATTCCTATATCTATTCTTAATCCCTCTGACTATATTTGTTTTCTTTTCACAATTCTTGTTCATGCATTCATCCTCATGCACACATCCTGTTAGTTACCAACATTGAACTAACCACTTAGGTATGAGATATTCCATTGATTAAATCTAATTAGGCTTATAAAACCCCACATGACCTGTGCTTTGATGTTTACATTCAACTGGTAATTATAACCCTTGGATATTTACTGACTAGAAAGAATTTGCACCCTGAACAACTGTGGCTAGAGAGTTAAACGATGCAAACAGTTAAATATTTTCCCTTTGACTAAGGGTTTTTGGACTTGCAGCTGTCTATTTTGTCAGTATATTCCTGACTAACCACATACTAAGCCACAGTCATTAAAGGCATCAACTTAGGGAAGTTTTGAAAACAGTAAAGAACATTTTGCTTCAAGGATTGATCCTAAAGAGCATGTGAAACAGAAATGTACAATGTTTACTTTGCTAGCGTACATTGTTATTCTTTGAAGGTGAACAATTCATCCGTGCAAGTTAATCCTCTGGGAAAAAAAGTTTGTTTTGGTGGTCTTCAATCAAAGTCTGCCCTTTTGATTCCACGTTTGGAGAGACGGTTCTTCTCTGTTGACATCAGTTTGATGACTTCACCACAATATTTTTAATCATGACCCTCTTACTATTAGTTTACTATGAGGGAATGATGCACAAATTGAAAGTCCTGCCCCCTACTCAATATTCCATTTCAGATGGGTGTACATAAACATACAAAAATAGTAATAATTCCTTACATTTATATAGCGCTAATCTGGACACTCAAAGCACTTTACACATTTTTACACGGGGGAAAGGTCCTCACCCACCTCCGGTGTGCAGCATGGAGAGGAGAACTAGGCCCGATCGCAATTCTACCCCTTAGCCCTCCCCCTTAATTCTCTTTAGCTTGAAGGCGTAGGGCTAAGGGGAAGGGGTCGATAGCCCTTCGAACTGAGATTCTTCAGAATGAGTGTCTAGTGGTTGGGAATGGGCTTTTTACAGTGTCTGCTATAATGTTAATGTTGTTTTTTTGTGTATTTACATAGATGAATATGGCCACGGTGTAAATGCGCAGTACAGTTATGATCTTATTGCCTCTTTAGATCGTTATGATAACATAATTTATGCCTTCAGTGATTTCCTGAAGATAAATACCAAAAAATAACACAACTGGAGTAACTACAGCATTTGTGATAGTCTGATCTCATATGAATCTAGAGATCGTGATGACATATGATGAAGTCTGCAGGTGTTGTAGTGCTGTCTTAGTGAGCTAGCTGCTGGCTGCCGGAAATAATAGTCTCAGAAAATTTCGGTTCATGCTGACTTTAATGAAAGACACTGAAGTGCATACAGACAAAATACAGAAAATGTTATAGACCAGGGGTGTCCAAACTCAAGTCCTGGAGGGCCAGTGTCCTGCTGAGTTTAGCTCCAACTTGCTTCAACACACCTGCCAGGAAGTTTCTAGTATATCTAGTACGAGCTTGATTAGCTGGTTCAGATGTGTTTGATTAGGGTTGGAGCTAAACTCTCCAGGACACCTGCCCTCCAGGACCGAGTTTGGACACCCCTGCTATAGATCATTAAAAATATGTGGTCAGTAATATGTAATTTATGTAACAAAAAATACATATTTCAAATAAATATTCATAAAAAAATATGAGAAAGTGGTTTTCAAAATGGACCACAACAAATGTTTCTTGAGCACCAGATTAGCATATCTGAATGATTTTCGCAGGATCATGTGACAGTGAAGACTTGAGCAGTGATTGCTGAAAATTTAGCTTTAAATCAGGGGAATAAAACGGTAGAATGTGTCAAAATAGAAACTCACCTGCATTCCTGGTGTCATGTGGACTTCTAATGCCAAATTCATTTGAACAAATACCAAGCAGACTCGGCACTGTGAGCAGATCTTCATGTTTGGTGTTTGTACAGCTGCAAACAGCAAGAAGAAATTAGGCTAGAGGAGGTTTCCTCACCACTGAATACCCACTTTATACAATGCACGGGTGTTTGGGTATATTTTGATACCAAATGCTACTTCCTTTCCGAAGAGAAGTAATTTTTTTCTTTGTTTAGTCAGTTACAAAGGTAAAACCTTGTCATGCATTCCGACTAAATGTTTATATGGAAACAG